TATATATATATATATATATATTTATTTATTTATTTATAGCCATTAGTTCAAATTTCATAAGCATCGTTAAGGTTAAATGCATTTATGATTTATTGAGCAGTCTAAAAATTAGAAAATAGTATTTTAATGGTTAAGTGACATCTAAATTGAGTGGTTTTTTATTTTTATAAAAAGACTACTTCAATAATATGATGGAAAGAAAATCAATTGATTTAATTTTTTCTTACCTTTTGAATTTAATTTTAATTGATTTTTATTGTGCATGTCCCTGATTTTGGACTATTGAAATTCCGTCATAAAAAGCAAATCAAAATTAAACTTTTGAGAAATGAAGTGTTGTCTAACAATGCTCATAGAGATATATCAACTATAGTAAGTTCTATTCATAAATAGTAATATTGTTCGGAACAATGACATGAATATTCTTTTGATACCGTATCTTGGATTATACTAGTCTTAATTTATATATTCATATATCATGATCATAATTAATTTACGATGATTTTCCGTGGAGGATTTATCATCTTTCACAATAGTTGAGTAGAAAAAAAGTACCGAAAAAAGTTTTTGGCAACGCTTATATAAATACAGGTTGTTAAGCTTCATATAATTGAGATATGTATTTACATAAGAATTGTGTGCTACATATGTAAATCTCTCTTTTTTTTTCTTTTTTATTTGCAATTGATCAATGAGTTGAGGTTAGATGATTTCTAATATTTAATGTCAAACTATTACATATAAGGTGAAGATAGATTTCCATTACTTTAGCCTTTTTTTCCTCACCTCACCAACGCACAAACAACCAAATGAAAAGGAGCATGCCATTCTATAAATGAGAAAACTTAAAAATGAAAAAAAAAATTTTTGAGGGCTACCTATTTAAATAAAACAGATTGTCTAATCTTCATACAAAAGGATTTAATGATAAAATTGGTGGCATTAAATTTGCTCAAATAAATCCTCAAATGTGTTTGGTATAAGTTTTTTTGTTGAATGTAGCATAAACATTATCGAAGAAGATTGCAATGCAAGTCAAATAAGAGGCTATGTGCTAAAGAGATAAGTTGTGATGCAAGCAAGATTGTTGTGTAGCCATTGAGAGAGAGAATTTTTGAGCAAGTTAGAGCACAATGTAGAGCTTATCAGAGATAGTTGCAATGCAAGCAATTCTGTCGCTAAAGTCTTACCAGAGATAACTATGGTGCAAGCATTGTTGCTACGCATGTCATAGCGATGTTAATCTGATGTAAATGTCATTATGAGACTTGCCTTGTTGAAGAATATTATATCACAAAAATGGTTAGGGTGCAAGTTTTAAGGGATTTATTGTGATGAAAATAAGATTTTGTCGAGGAGCGTTGGATGTGGCTTCTGTGCAGTTTTATTTTTAGTTTATTGATCTAAGATGACCAATTATATAGCCATTTCTAATCTAATTTAAAGAGTCGTCAAAAGCTAAGCTTCTTATATCTACTTTTTAAAGTGACATAAACCCTGTTCTGCATAAACTATAATGCCAAATTAAGTATTATTTATAAGTGTGAATATAAAATTTTAGTTGTTACATACGTGATTTTTTTTAAAAAATATTTAACCACTCCTCATGTGCCTAACAAATCGAGTACCACCTCCTTAAGGCCAATTGTGCCAAGGGGGATTCGAAGGATCTTAAACATGCCAACCAACAAACCGAGGTACGCGACATAGTCCTTACATATGTAATTAAAAACATAAGAATTGTGTGGTATTTATGTGAGTTTCACAAAGTCTAAATGTTTTTTTGAACATTTTTATCTAACACTATAGAAAAAAAGAAGAAGAATGAGAATATGCTGAATTACACTTTTTCTGGAAGAAATTCAAGAATAAAATGCTGTATATTAGCAAGACAAAAAACAAAAAGAAATCTTGCAAAATAAAAAGATTTAGAAGCTTGTTTAAGGGATATTCTAAGCCAAAACATTTCAACATGCTAACTAATATCTGACAAACTTAGGTGGCGAGTACTCAATACCTTGTCTTTTGCAAAACTCGACTAAAAAATCATGTTAAAAATAAATAGAATACATGCCATAGATCTGACAAACTTAAGTGGCAAGTACTCAATTCCTTGTCTTTTGTAATACTCAATTCGAAAATCAAGCTAAAAATATATAAAATACTTAATTAATTAAAGCTAGTCCAAGAAAAATATTTTTAATTTCATCATAGTCAGCCAACTCATACTTAAGTATTAGACATTTTCAATTCGAATTCTATTTGAATATTAAATAAATCTAATTGAAAGCTTCTTACAAGCAATATAACTCTGAGCTTCAGATATATACCAGATCATGTCTACCAAATCTTGTTGGCCGGCCAGTAATTTCATCATCCCTGCACATGAATAATGATAAAATCCAAAACCTCATAATTAATTATAAACATCAAATTAATAAACAGCCCAACCACACCATACCAAACTAAACCAAACTAAATCCTCTAAAATACGATAGAGCAACACAAAGGCTCCGTTTGAGATCACTTTCGACTTTTGTTCGGCTTCACAGAATGTCGCCGCTTGGAAGAATTTAGGTTGGGCGACGGAGCAAATTCGGAAGGTCTCCAAACGCCGTATCTCAAAAACGTTGAAATTTTGCCGTTTCAAATCGAAGACGACGGGTCCTTTGAAGAAGCTTCATTGAACGGTGCCTAAGAGCAAATACTAACGGGAGAACGATAAGAAGTGGTTGAATTAAGTGATGAACCCGCGAGTTCCTCCACAACACAATCGCCGCCGCTATCATCATTGTTGTTGCCTATATTGGCACTATCAGAATCAATCACCTCAAAAAGTTGCTCGATATTTTCCTCAAAACCAACACAATCAAATAAATCATGGAGGATATTAGTCTCCTCCATGTTTACTTCTTGTGATGAGTCAAAGTCTTTATTGTCCATATCATACCACAGAAAATCTTCAAAATCATCTGGGGCTTGTATGTTAATGATGTCAGAAAGTTCTTTATATGGAGATTTTAACGTGGAGGGAGATGGGGTAACTACGGAATGGTGGGTTTCTAGCATTGGGATTGGTGATGGAGATGGATGGCTTGTATAGTAACTAATGTTGAAGTTGGTCACCGCATTGGGGCCTCTGTATTCCAAGGCGGCCATGTCGTAGGCTTGAGCTGCCTCTTCCTCAGTACCTATAAAGAAATAATGGGAGTCAATATTACATGTAATATTCGTATGTACGGATTGATAGTATTGGAGTGGTATTGTGATTCATATCACCCTAATATCACTCAAATAACATCAATTTACGTCTATCAGCACCTATCATGTCTGCACGTAATATTTCTTCCATTAAAAAAGCTTTGATTCATGAATAAATAGTGAAGCACATATTTGATTGATCATTCATTAAGCAAGTAGAATACAAATAGAAGTTTTAAGATCAAATTTAAAACAAGACCATAAATATAAGTAAATATTTGTTTGATCATATTTGCCTCATTATTGGCTTGAAATAAATAAATGTCCTAAATTTATGAATTATTAATTATGTAAATTTTAAATTTATTAAATAAATAATTATATTTAATCTAATTTTTGGGGCTCTCTAAATTGGTCACTTGATTATGTTTTAAAAATAACGAAGGTTGTTAAATTTATCACTATTTTTTTCTTTGATGGAGGTACATATTAACATCGATTTCAAATTCACAATTTTTTTTTAGTTTTATAAAAAATATTTTAATTTTAATTTTACATTAAAAAAATGAGTAAAAATGAATAAATATTGTTTAATTTAAAAGCAACCAATTGTCTCCAAGAATGAGATTTGATTAAAGAAGTTGAGAGGATGGTGTACTGAAAGTTCCCAAGTAGAGGTATTTGTTGCCGTGGATGCGTCCAATCCTCGCCTCCCATCGACCATTGTGGTGATGCCTGCTTAAAACAGTCAAAATATTACTGTTTTTTTGCATTAATTTTCCAAAAGGTTTTACGAAAAATAAAAATATAAGAAAATATTTTATTCATGAATTATAAGTTGACAAGCGAAATAAGGGTTGCAGGTCATCTTAAATGCTTTAGTGGTTGAGAATTTAGCGGTTTTAAGTTGGGAAATTGGCATACATACCACACAATTCTTATGCATTATATATCTAATACCTAAATTTTGATATTTACATTTTACATCTTAGCGTCTGCCTGGGGCATTGAAGAAGTTACAGTAAAGTCACTGTAGAAGAAGCTGATTTTCAAAAAACTTAAGTGACTACTATAAATTTATTTTAATTTCAAAGAGTTAGACCGCAACTTTCTGACAAACGCCACACTTTAACAGGTCAGATCGAAATAAACAACTTTCTATTACAAAAATTTCTACAAAATAGCAATTGTCGGTCTGAAAGGCAAAACAGCCAAAAAGCTGTCCCATACATGCCGTTGGTGTTATAAATTCATATATAAGAAAATATATTTCACTTTTAAAAAAATAATTATAATGATATTTTTGATGTTATGTTCAAATGAATTATATATAAAAAAAAAACTGTAACAAGTCAAAACTTAAATTGATTTAGCGTAGACCAATCTTAATTCATGGGTATACATTTTCGATGAAGCGACTCATGTTTTTTTTATCTTCAACTTGCAAGGTGAAGTTTACCTAACAAGCCGCGACCACCTACATCTCTGAAAAACACTAAAATATTATTCCCAGTAATGTAAACAACAAGCAATGGTCAATTAAAATGTTCTTATCTTATTTAATCTTTTATATTTTCCCTTTTGCCTTAACTTAGAATCATGCACATGCACAAATGTGGACATAACGTCTGAGAATCATCTGTGTATTACATTACAACGTCTGGCTTTCATTTCTTATGAATTACGCCACACGCATAAGCCCCATGGCTCTTGAGATTAGTACAAATTTTACATAAATTTTTATATTGTGACTACAAATGTAATACATTAAAAAATGTAATACCTTGCAACGCCTCGATATTTAGATACTCCTCTAGAGAAGCCACTGCTCCTTCGCCTAAGAGTAGCCAAGTACTCTTCCTTCGACATGCTCTGCATCTCCTCAAAATCTTTCACATAGGTGCTTGCCTTCATATAATTTTAAGAAAATAGTAATAAAACTTGAATTGTAATTAAGAAAAAAGAAATTTAGGGGAGAAAGGTTACAGGAAAATTAAGTATTGTATCAGGACCCCAGTATTTAAGCGCCGCAAGATCGTAGGTATGTGCTGCAGCCTCCTCATCATCATAAGCCCCTTCACCACATCACCAACCATCCATCCATGCAACCAGAGATCACATCATTAAGATTATAAAATATTTAAAAAATAGAAAAAGAAGAAGAAGACAAAAACATTGATAGATGATTAACTCACCCAAATAAACTAATCGGCCAGACCATAAATGTTCCATATTGCCAAAAGCAACCAAAAAATAATTAAATTCTAAAAAAAACAAAATTCAATAAATAATGCAGCTTAAAATAATCTGAGATTTTTTAAGATCCATATAAACCTTGTCTGCCTTTCTTGTTCTGCATAAGATTCCAGCTGTTCTTATCCCACAGATGAGCTTCATACCTTCCTGTCCACCTATGCCTTTGGTTGACATGCAAGCATACAAATATTTGAATATACTCAGCTGAAATATAAAATATAAAACTTGAATAAAATGAAGAACCTGGTGACTCCTCTGTAGATAGAGCTTCTCTTCCCACAAGCACTAGTGCTGCCTCCCACATTGTTCTTGTCAGTAGTTCTCGCATGAGCGTTCTTGCTTCTCCTTGCTCTTGGCTTGGTAATGGTGGTGGAAAGAGGAGGAGGAGAGGGAGAAGAGAAGGGAGGATTTGATTTCTCCATTTGAACTTCTTTTGGTTCTTTTTTGGTTTGGCAGAGAGATAACAAAGCCTTTTTATTGAGATTTTGGTTTGCTATGGCTATGAGTGGTTCAACTACATAGAGAGAAGGTGGTGGCTGTCTTTTTTGGACATGAGGTTGGTGTGTATGAGAGAAGAAGACAAGGGTTGAAAAGGGGTTACAGGTTGCCAAGGCTCAAAAGAGGCTTGGGTATGTGTGAGAGAGGCTACACTTGGCAATTAGGTTGCCATGCTCCCAATTAGCGGCCATGCACTTCTGCTCACAGACAGAGAGAGGCTACACTTGGCATATTTCTATGGGAAATTCATCTCAAAAAGAATATATAGTTATAGACACCTTTTTAATTTTTTTTTTTCTAAGGTATTATATAACTGAAATTAATTGTAAATCTTGATTCAAGAAAGATGATAAAATCTTTTATATTGCTAAAAGTATTTAAATTCATATTATTAAATAAATTCATATCTATATATATATTGTTCGGTATGGCTCATATAGGGCTGTCAAAATGGCTCGTTGTACACGAACAACTCGTGTTCGGCTATTAATAAACTCGTGTTCGGCTCGTTCGCTAAGTTAACGAGCCGAACAAGAACAACTCGAGCAATATTTGTTCATTCGTGTTCGGCACGTTTTGACTCGAAATACTACTAATCAATTATATAGTATTTTTAAAAAATTTGATTGACTACAAAGCTACAAAGATTTATAATCAATTAAAAGTTTTAATTAAGAGAAGAAAATAAAATAAAAATTATTAAACTAGATTCAAATGATGTTTTAAATTTTGTCCAACTCCTTAACATATTATGACTACTTGATCAGGGTTGTCAAAACGACTCTTTGTTCTGAACGGTTCGTGTTCGGCTCGCTGAGCAAATCAGCCGAACACGATCACACTTTTTGAGCTCCCCTGATAAAGGACAGATATTGGAGCGGAGCGGAGTGCAACAGAAGTATCTGTTCAAATGGGGGTGTTTAGTTAAGTGGGTTGGGGGTGCGGGAGCAACGCCCCCGCGGTACAGTACATCGGTATTTTTGTAATTTCATTAAGGGTTGTATTTATATATATAATATTTTTTGTAATTTTACGGGAATCATACTCTTACTTCTAGAATAGAAACCGCCGCTTTGCTCTCGAGGACGTAAACGCATTGCTGAAACTCGTAAAATCTCGTGTCCTTCAATTTTCTTGTGATTGTTATTTTGTTTCACTTCACATACAAATCGAATTATTAAATGCCACAATAATTTTTCAGCCACAAGGGCCTTTCTCCCGAAAATAGGACAATTTAAAAGAACTTTCGTTTGTACGGACTATTTATAGTGCAGAAGAATATCTTTCTATCATGCATGACGATGACTCCATATTAGTTGTGGGCTCTTTCAATGGATTTTCGAGGAGTTAATTTTGAGGGCATTTACATACATGCCACCCAATTCATATGAAATGGGCACAAGTAAGAGCATGTATGTAAAAGTTGAAAGTTTGGGTCTTAAACATGTAAGTAAATACATAAGAATTAATTGGTATGTACGTAAATCTTCCCTAATTTTGTTGGATGAAGTACTACTGATTTCCACCGGCTATTGTGACCGCTTAGATTTTTGGCTTTCAATGATGATTGAGATTGATACAGAAAAATATTAATTTTTATACAGAAATTGCTTTTGTTAGCTTTAATCGTCCAAATATCTCTTCATGATATTGTAATTGATGATTTAAGTATTTTAAAAAGCTAAATATCTACGGCAGCTTTAATTCATCTGGCGGATTGGGCCTCCAATCTTTTCGGTATGGATAGAGAGACTGCAAAACGAGTACTACAATTTAATGCATTGTAAGATGGTGTTTGGTACGATATGTTTAAAAGGGGTTAAATAAATCCGATGCAATGTTGAATTCACATTCTTCTCCTTCTGTTAATTTTGTTGACTTAAATCCAGATTAATTGGTCTTAAATCCAGATTAACTAAATTTAATTATTAGGTGGGTTTAACTGATTTTGCTTAAGAAGGAAATACTTCAAAGAGATTTATGCTAAACGTGTTAAATGGATCTAATTAGATTTAATTTTAATTGAACTAAATATTATTTCAAATTAATAATATTTGGATTTGATAAATCCGGATTAAATCTTATTTAACTTAAATCCTGCTTGCAACCAAACAACACATAAAATTTCTTTTTATATATAGAGCTTTTAAAACATTTTTACTATTAAAAAAAGCATGTCATTAAGCTACGCCCATCTCCAATGCTTGAGACTGCGCTCAGAAGGTGAAACTGTTCTTTTAGCGCGAGCGAACTCCTCTTCTCCTATGCCAGCGAACTCCTCTCCAATCCTCAAAGCTTAACTTCTCCAATATTGACTCCATTTTAGTAAATAATAGAGAATGGCCGACTCACTTTCAATCGTTATGTCTCATCTAATAACTATAACATACAAAATCAGTTACTCTCACCTCGGTGATAGTCTCCACTGTCACTTATTAGTCTCCTGTAGCTAACTTGGGACATTTTACTTCTCTCTAGAGTATTCAATTCACCCCTATATGTATTGACCCCTAATTACTATTTCCAACCAAGATGATTTAAAATTAATATACAGTATCTATGACTGCTTTATCCTCTACTGGTTTACTGTCTGCTTCTCTACTAATCACCTGCAGACTTTCATGGCGTCAGAGCAGGCACTTCATACAAATTCTGCTTCTTTCAAGTCTTTTATCCTCTTCTTTCTCTCCATCTCAGACTATTTCCAAAAAAAATTGTTTGAGGCTCATTTTGTTGTCATCATGTCTGATTCCAACTCCTCCACTAGCAAATCCGAAGTTCTTCCATTCTCCTCTGGAAATGACATTACAATCACCTCGACACTCAAATTCCTTATGTCCACTGTAAGAATAATAGCTCATGTTCAGTTATCAAGTGACAACTATCCAACATGAAAGCCTGCAGGAACGATAGAAGAAGATGCAAAAATTTTTGTGGATATGGTCGCAACAACGATAAAGGAGGTAACACTCAATTTGGCAGGGGAGGCCGCAACTCACCTCTCCCCATTCCTGGCAGCACATGTCAATTTTGTGGAAAACACGACCATATAGCTCTAATGTGTTGACAAAAAAAATTATTTCACCTCCTACCCATCCCCAAAAGCTGATACATCCATGCTAAACACTACAGAACCAAAGGCCTGGATCTTGTACAACGGTGCTACGTCACATCTCACAACCAACTTGGAGAATCTATAAAACCAATTTCCTACCATGGGAATGACACTATTTCAGTTGGCGATGGTTCTACTCATCCCATCACCTAAACATGTCAGGGCTTACATCCTACTCCTCAAAGTAAGCTAATCCTACTAAATCTCATATACTCTCCTCATCTTGTTCATAACCTTATATCTGTTCATAAACTTTCCTTTGATAATGATTGTATTATCATTTCTACTAAATTTGGTTTCATTATCAACGGTCGGAGGAAAACAAACCAATCCATAAACTACACACTAAAAATGGTCATGTTCAATCAATGCACTCTCAGTTGTTCATAATCCTTCCATTTCACCTTCACAACTTTGGCATAGATGCTTGAAACATCCTCATTCAGAAGCTACGACACACATCTCCAAAATCCACAGTGTTATCATCAATCCCAATTTTCATCATCTTTGTACCGAATTTATTTAAGCAAAATTTCAATAATTACCTTTTCGTCTTCTATTTGTAGATCTCGGATACCATTTGCTCTTCTTCATTATGATGTATGGGAAACTACTCCAACTAGTTTCTTACAAGGACACAAGTATTACTCATCTTTAATTGATGATTAAAAGATATTATTCTGATGTATGCAAAATCTAAAACTAATACAATCATAATAATGTTTCATAAATTTGTTCAAAAGCAATTTAACACCAATATCAAAACTATATGCTCTGATGGGGGTAGTGAATATACCTCTCAAACTCTCAAATAATAACTTCTCTCACAAGGTATTCAACATCAATTTAGTTACTCATACACACCCCAATAAAATGGGTTTGTTGAACGCAAACATCTAAATTTAATTAAGACCACTAGAATCCTCCTTCTAATAGCCCAACTTCCTATATGATTTTGGGCCGAAAGCTCTCAGTACTGTCTCCTACCTCATAAATCACATGCCCTCCAAAACAAAAGATTTCTAATATCTTGTTGAACTACTATTTCACTTTTTGCCTACATTGAATCACCACCGCACTTTTAGGTGCTTATGCTTTCCATGGCAACGACCCCTCAACTCAAATAAACTTCTCCCTGTAGCCCCCACCATGTATCTTCATTGGATATGCATCTAAATACAAATGTTATCACTGCTACAATTTTCAAACTCAAAAAGTCATCACTTCTCTCCATGTCGTATTCAATGAAACTTCAAATCAAATCAATTCTCCAACTATATCTACATCAACCCCTCACTTCAGCATTCCACCTTGTCTCTTAACACAAACTTCATCCAAATTCTTCGCCCCTCCACCTCCTACAGTAACCACATCCTACCTAAACAATCTTCTACCTACAACTAGCTCTTCACTATCCTCCACTCAAACTACAACACTAAAAAAATACATCAATCTTCAAAACTATCTAACAATACCATTGTATTCTCTAATTCTTCTCCATACAAGCCATCAGACAATCTATGATTACTAGAGCTCAAATCGACTCCTTCAAATTGAAACAAATCTTTGACTTCACACCACTACATCTCCTCCAGTCGATCCTAGCTGCTATACTGAACCTGTAAAACACCTTCATTGGTGTTAAGATATGTCCAATAAATTTCATGCTCGTTAAAGTCAAGGAACTTGACAACATGTTCCTTCACTACCAAATCAAAACATCATTGGCTGAAGGTGGACATATCGAACCAAATTCAAGTCGGATGGCTCATTTGCTAAACATAAAGATTACATCGTCTCTCAGAGATTTAAATAGCAGTACTATATCAATTACAACAAAACCTTCAGCCCTTTTGCTAAACTTCCAACCATACGAATTTTTCTCATGATAGCTCTACACGACAACTGGCCAGTCAAGTAGCTCGACATATCAAATGCATTTCTTCACGTCTCTCTAGATGAAGTCATCTGTATGCAACAACTGCAAGGGTTCCAAGTCATTCAACATCCAAAGCACATCTGCTTACACAAAATGACCATTTTCAGCCTCAAAAAAAGATCCTTGTCAGTGGTATTCGACCTTTTTCCAATCATCT